AAATGGGACGGCTGTCCCAAATGCACAGGCCGTCCCAAATTGTCCCAGTGTAAAATGTGTAGTTGGGACGACCGTCCCAACCCAGACGGCCGTCCCAGATGTCCAGGCTGCGAAATCTATAAATAGGAGCCTCATTTGTCTCATTCCACACACCAGACAACTCTGAGACTTGTCTTCTTCTCTCCCTCTCTCGAATGATCTCTCTGATTGCCTTTTTTAGGTAATAATCAGTTAAGGAATTTGTATTCCGGCATTCGATTTCCTCTAGAAAATTAGTCGAGTCGATTAGGGTAGACGAGAGGAGAACAATTGTAGAGCGAAGGACTGCCAAAACGCGTCCTCTTTGTACAAGAATCATAATATAAAGCTTGCTACGGAGGTTTTTCTCAATTCTCTTCTTCTTCATTGCTTTATTTATTGTTTTCTGTATGCAATGTAGATAAATCATGTAGATAACCATATTTAAATAACTGTACGAATAAAATAGGGTAAATGCGTAATTTTTCATAATCTTCACTTAATGAATAAATCCGTCATAGGGAACCCAAAAGGGGCGTTGTGGGGGTGCTAACACCTTCCCCACACGTAACTAACTCCCTTACCCAACTCTGGTTATAATGGCCAAGTTGGTTTTTAATAAAATCAACGCCTTTTTTCCTTTTCCAATGTTTCTGGTCAAAACATTGGTGGCGACTCCAAAAGAACCCCTTTTCGAAAACCTTGCTTCTATTAGAGGATAGTTCAGTGTTGAGCAACTCAGAAGCAATGAACACAATTTTAACAAAAAACGCGAGTCTCAACCATCTTTTCGCGACCGCTCGCATAAACGTTCGAGATGTCCCAGGACGTCGGAACGGACGGCGGCGACAACTCCAAAAGAACCCTTTTCGAAAACCTTGCTTCTATTAGAGGATAGTTCAGTGTTGAGCGCCTCGGAAGTAATGAACATATTTTTAACAAAAAACGCGAGTCTCAACCATCTTTTCGCGACCGCTCGCATTAACGTTCGAAATGTCCCAGGACGTCGGAACGGACGGCGGCGACAGCCACGAAGCATATACTCCCGCAGCACCAGTCGCTGCCCTTATTCAGTTGCCATTCCGGCAGAGTACCCTGATAAAGAAGGGGAACACCCAGGGTGGGAAAGTAACGATGTTAGAAGACCACCTGTCCTACCTGGCTGAAAGGACAGAGTGGGTTGCCTTCAACAAAACCCCGGCACTCATAATTTTCGAACAGCCTTGTTCCCCTTCCATTTCGACACAATAGATCGGCCGTCATGGACGCCTTCTTCGCTCGGGATGTGAATTCGAAAAGTCCCCGCCTGTTATTCTTGCCGACACCCGCTCTCGGTGGAATTCCGTCACCGAAGCGTGGCAAAATACTCCGTTGCTTGCTCTTCATTGCTATTTGTGTGGAGCGCCACTCACCTGTACGCCTCCAGTCACATGGGGATATTCCCCGACCCTTTGAGAAGTTTCTCCAAGATCCCCCTCCAGCGTCGTCTCGACCTCGGAATGGAGGGATGAGTGGGAACGCAAGGACGCCAACAAGTATATCCCGGGTCTGTCCTTGGTTCCAACCCGGCCCAGTTCTCATCAGATGTGGGGACTATCCGAGTGTACCCTTGATCGGACTCAGGGGCTGCATAGCCTACTCACCTAAAGTAGCTATGAGGCAGCTCATGAGGACCCAAACTACTATTTCCCGAGGCGAGCTCGGAGGACTGTGCTTCTTTGGAGACCCATGCACCATCGCCAACTCACTAGCCATGAGAAAATCATGGGAGAGGCCAGTCTACATGGGAGCAGAGAGCTAGGAAAAGCTCGGGTGGCTGTCACCAGTGACTATGAGGCATGGAGAAATAGAAGAGGGGTGGCTCAACCATCCACCACACCTACCACGAGCGCCAAAAATGAAGGGCTACAGGCTCAAATTGACGCCTTGACCCAGAGGATAGAGATCATGGGAGCCCAGATGAGAGCCCTTGAGGAAAAGGAGCAAGAATCTATCCTCACGATTGATGGTCTGCGAAGGCAAGGCAAGAAAAAGGATCATGAAATAGAGCGCCTCAAGGACCAATGCGCTGACTCCAATGAACAAGCTATCCGAGCATCTAAAACTGCCAGAACAAGTTCGGATAGCCAACTGCAGGAGATAACCGCCAACTCAGCACACCTTGAGGCCGAATCAGCAAAGCAGGCTCGAACGATCAAGGAGTTGTCGGAAGAGCTCCTCAAGACTCGGTTATACATCCGCCAAGAGCGAGAGGCCAACCGGAGACTCAACAGGAGTCTCGCTGAGCTACGCCACAAAGAAAGAGATGGGCTAGCTCAGTACGGCCAAGTACTTCAAGAAAAAGACCGAGCCGTTGAAAAGCTCGATGAACTACAAGCCTTGGTCGTTCATCAAGAGGCGAAGATCAAAGAGGCTCAACAGTACAGTGAAGATATGAGCCAGGTGGTCCGCAAACAAAGCGAAGCACTTGCCCGTCATGTCCGGGAAGCTGAGAGAGAACTACAGAGGAATCAAGACCCTCCTGTGGGTTTCTTTAAAGTTTTCTGCTTTTGCCAAAAGTTGTTTCGCAGTATAGAATAGGGGAATGTACACCTTCTATTGAATAAATAAAATCTTCTTTTTGTTCAATGACTGTCTACTTTCATGCATGAGCATTCATTTGCATATTTTAAATTTCCCCTCCTTCACGCTTAATAAATAAGATAATAAAAAGGAAGGATTAACTAACACGTCTTCCAACTCAGAAGAATGGAGAGAAAGCCACTCCTAATAAAGCTCACCCCAACGATCGAGTCATCGCAAGAGGAAAATAAACCTCGGCCGTTGGTCCTCAAGAATAAAGAAGAAGGGGCAAGGACGCCAGTGCTACTATTTATGCCACGTCCTTTCCCCTACGAGTCAAATAAAGTTGTACCGTGGAGATATGGGGAATCTTCACCGATAAAAGAAGAAATAACAAACATAGCCGGCATTGGGGGCACAACTAGAAGTGGAAGAATCTACTCCCCCAAGGACACATAGGAAAATGTCCTCCAAAATAAAGGAAAAAAATAAAAAGACCGAAGGAGAAAAAGAAAATAAGGAATCCAAGGAGGAGACAGATGAATTACTCCAGTTTATAAGGCAGAGTGAGTATTCCATTATTGACCAGCTCAACCGTACGCCTGCAAAGATCACATTGCTATCTTTGATAATGAGCTCGGAACCGCATAGGAACGCCCTGCTGAAGGTCTTGAGCGAGGCACATGTACCTCAAACAATATCCCAAGAAAAGGTCGAGAGGATCGTCAGTCACATCACGGCAAATGATCACCTCACCTTCACAGAGGAAGAACTCCCCCTGGAGGGGTCAAACCACAACAAGCCCTTGCATATCTCGGTTAAATGCAAGGAGTACCTCATCGCCAAAGTTCTTGTGGATAACGGGTCATCCTTAAACGTGATGCCCAAGTGCACACTGGATAAGTTGACTATCCAAGGAACCCGTCTGCGCCCAAGCAGCACCATCGTTCGAGCCTTCGACGGATCAAAACGAGAAGTAGTGGGAGAGGTGAATTTGCCAATCCAAGTTGGACCCACTACCTTCAACATCGATTTCCATGTAATGGACATTACTCCAGCATATAACTGTCTCCTCGGCAGGCCTTGGATTCATGACGCTAAGGCAGTACCTTCGACGCTCCACCAGAAAGTCAAATTCATAGTGGGCGACAAACTGGTAACGGTCCAAGCAGAAGACGATATCCTGATTAGTGGACCGTCCACCCAACCTTATGTGGATGCGGCTGAAGAGGCTCTTGAAACATCTTTTCAAGCGCTCGAAATTGCCAGTATAGAGCGACTTCCCAAAAACACAAAGGTAGCCCGCATGATGTTGAAGCACGGTTATCATCCTGGCCAGGGACTGGGGCAGATTCCCAAGGCATGAGGGAACCCCCAGAATTCAAAGAAAATCCTTGCAAGTATGGCCTAGGATATGACCCTACTAAGGGCCGAGCAGAAAGGAGAAAAGGGAAGTCTCCCCTCCGCACACTCAAGCAAATTTTCCGAAGTGGAGGGGTGCAAGCGTCAAGAGCCACCTTAGTCATTAGGAAATCTTTTTCTTTGTTTAAGGGATGTAAACCCCATGATTGTTAGAGATTATCCCCCGGGGCGAGCCCGACCCCCGGGCATTTTAGGGCACATATTCCCTCATTAATTAATAAGAATGATTCTTTCTATATGCTTCTCTTCTTTCTACTTCTGACTGGACCACATAAATAACCCTGTCTAAGTAAACATAGAAAAAGAAGAAGAATAAAAAGCGCTTCCAAATAATCAACCTTTACCATTGCTATTATCATCAAGTTAGTTGATTAGAAGCACATAAAAATAAGACTTCACCTAGTCCATAAAGAAAGTCATATACTGTGAAAAAAAAATAATATAAATCCAAACAAAAAAAGAAAAAAGCCCAGAGAAGCCAAAGGCCAAAGAAAAGGGCAAAATTACCCGGTAGGAAACCCACTAAGGGGGCTACACAAAAGATAGGGTCGACCCGGTAGGATACCCGAACAACAATAAAGGGTAGCCTAGGCAAAAGTTAGGGTTACAAATAAGGTCCGCTAGGATTTCTCCAAAATTTTACAAAAGAAGGAACCTAGACAAAAGTTAGGGCCAATACACAGTATCCTAGTTCGAAAACCCAAAGGGCGATCTAGGGAAATCAGCTAGCCATTTAAAAGCAATGGAAATGAAACCAAAGAGCGCAAATACAAAAAAGAAAGGAAAAATGTCTGCTTAGACAAAGCCTAAACACTCAGGCTTAACCTTAGCCAACCATTCTTACAAATCCTTTTATCAATAAAAATCAACCCTCTAAAACACAAGCCATTGATTTTTACCCCTTTACTTCTTTTCTCTTGACCCTCACGACAATATTCTAATAATTAATTTGGGAATATGGAGGCGTATAGTCAACAAGAGGATTGAAATCCCTAAAGCAAGGAAAAAGGGACACTACATGACAGAAGTGCTCTACAAAAGAAAAAACAAAAAAAGAAGAAAAAGAGAAAGAAGAGAAAGAAAGAAATTACCCTTCGGTCACAAGAAGCCCGGCATGGTACAACCAAGAGTAAACGCAGCGAATCAGAAGGCTTTCGGCACAACAAGACACGTTGGTTAAATCCTTCTGAAAACTTAATCAAAATAGGCATTATAGGACATAAAAACATAAAAACATTGCATGCATAAAATGTTTTTAGACCAGGTCCTATTACCTCTTTCAAAAAATAACAAAAAAGCAACAAAAAAATATAAAAAATAAAAAATCTCTTCCGTAATTCAAGACCGCCGTCTGGACCAACCATACCGTCGTCTCGGTTACCCAACAAGGCGAGACCGCCGTCTGGACCAACCAGACCGCCGTCTCGACACAGGCAAAAGGCGAGACCGCCGTCTTGATGGACCAGACCGCCGTCTCGACTTGGAGGAGACACGAGACCGTCGTCTCGCCCACCCAGACAGCGGTCTCGATTTTGAAAAATTCCCTATATATAGGGGGCGCGCTTGGGGGTTTCCTCACAACTCCCCTTGCCTCCAGAACCTCCTTTCTCTCAACTCCTGCATTCCCAAGCATCCTCTGGTCAGAATGTTTAGCCGAAGCGCTTCCAGGAAGAGAAGGAGCATCGCCGGTGCCAGTAGTTCTGCAGCACCGCCGTCCTAGGACCCTTCTCAACTGTCGCCACAACACCAGGCCCGTCTTGAAAATATCCGGACCTACCAGTGGCATCCAATGCTCAAGCTGGATTTCAACATCCTAGCTGAATTGGGATGGGAGGACGACGTCCGGGCCCATCTAGATAGCATCGGGTGGGGCTTCCTGCTGCAGCCACCACCTACACACGTGTACCCGCAGGCGGTACTGGAGTTCCTAGCCTCCGTCTCTTACTCTGAGGTCCCCTCCACGGTCCCGGGCCTGCCGCCCACCAGGATGGTGACCTATTTTATGGGTGGGCAATACCAGACCTCCACCCTCAAAGAATTCAACGTAACCATCGGGTTCGTCCGGCCCGAGGATGCCACGACCCAGGAATACCATGACGCCATCTGCTCACGGCCCACCAACCTTACTGCCGCCGAGATGTGGCATGAGCTCATGGGAGCCTCCACACTGCCCACGCTGATGAGGGGATCCGCGCTTCCCCCAGCACTCCGTATCTGCCACAAGCTGTTGGCAGGAACCATACATGGGAGGAAAGAGAGTCAGGGCAAAATATCCCTCCCTGACCCCTTCGTACTGTATTGCATGAGCCAGAAGCGACGCTGCAACCCCGGGTACTTCTTCCTGAAAGCCCTCAAGGACTTCGGGCACAGATCCACGGGGGCCGTCCTCATGGCTCCACTCATCACTCCCGTGGCAGAGAGTTTGGGGTGCCTTGGCCGGGAAGAGCTGGCCCACAACCTGCGACCCGAATCCATCGGCGGGTCGATCTTGGTCAGCATGGGAATGCTGATCCGCAGAGGGACCCAGCTGGCCCTCCATCCCACACTAGATTTTGCATTGGAACTCCAGGATGCAATGCATGATCTGCCTACACCTCCCGACTTCCAGCAGCATCAGTAGCAGCAACCGCCACAGTATGCGGACGACTTCGCTGGCATGCATCGCCACATGAGCGATCTATGCCAGTAGTTCGACCATATGACTGTGAGGCAGGAGCAAATATCCCAGAGGCAAGAGCAACTATCCCAAAGGCAAGATGCCTTTGACACCCGGCTGGGAGAAATGTACCAGCACCAACAGGACATGCGCCACGATTGGATAACATTCCAGCAAGAATACCGGGATGAAGTCCAAGAGCATGCAGACTTCCGGTATCATATGTACCAGCATTTCCCTCCACAGGGATCGGGTCTACAGGATAGCCCCTAGGGATAGTGATTGCAAATAAAATAGGGTTGTAATAAAATTTCCCCATAAATAAAATTTTATTTCATGCATCTTTTTTGAAAGTGATCCTAGCAAAGATCTCATTGATTTGATGAAGTCAAAGATAAAGTCA